ATCATTATTATTATTATTATTATTATTATTATTGTGTCAGTAAAAAATGCTTGAATCTGATTGGTTCTTAAAAGCCCTTCATTTATGGCTTAATTTGGCTGTTGCAATATCAAAACTGTTCGGACAGGTTAAATTGGACTGTTCAAAAGCCAATAAAAGTTCATCACCTAATGTAACTAACCAATGAAATTTTATTACCCAGCTAATGCTAGCCAATCAAAACCAAGCAAAAAATTTGAGCAGGTTTCCCAGCTCCAGTTAGAGAACAAAGATGGACTACAATTAGCTGGTTCAATGATGTTTATTCAGATATGTTTCCTTTAGAATTTGTCAACCTGTTCAACACTATTCATTTCGAAAGCTTTGAGAATAAAGATGATTCAGTGACAGAAGTTAACAATACTAGTAACAACAAATACAGCGAATGAGTGACCTGCCCTCACTGAATTAACTTTGGAAACAAAAAACTTAACAGTGCCTGATGAGTCCAGGTTTCCTCTGATCTCTAATGAAACAGTACTAAGAAACTCTTAAGGAGGCACAGAACAAAAACACAAAGAGAAGTACCATGATGTGGATGAGAGTTTGGTCCTCCTGGGCAAAGTCAGGAAACATAAGCGTCAACATGGAAGCCATTTCGCCTGCAACTTTAAATGAAATCCTCCAAAAGTATTATCTGGAAGTAAGAAAACAAGATGGCATGGAGTACGAACTAGACTCACTCAAGGTTATGCAAGTGACCCTGGAACGGTACCTATCCGACAAAAAATATCCAATGCATACAGCTTCATAACTGGTTGCGAATTTGCAACTGCCAGGGCTGTCTTGAATGCAAAAGCTAAACAGCTGTGCATGAATGGTTACGGCAAGAGACAAAATTGCCCTCAGCCGTACAACTCTGCTGAAGAGGAACTTTTTTGGACCAGTGGCTTGTTAGGTGACCACATTGGAGTAGCCCTGATGAATGTAAACTTCAAAAACCTGTCCAAACACTTGGGCTTTTGAGAGTTTCATGCATTTTTTTATTGACACAATTAATTGGTAATAAGACTTCGTGTCGTACAATTCAG